CCATGGTGGCAGCAGCATCATGCTGTCGGGATGCTTTTCTTCAGCAGGGACAGGGAAGCTGGTCAGAGTTGATGGAAAGATGGATGGAGCTACAGGGCAGTCCTGGAAGAAAACCTGCTAGAGGCTGCAAGAGACTTGGGACTGGGGTGGAGGCTCACCTTCCAGCAGGACAACGACCCTAAACATACAGCTAGAGCTACAATGGAATGGTTTAGATCAAAGAATATTCACGTGTTAGAATGGCCCAGTCAAAGACTAGACCTAAATCCTATTGAGAATCTGTGGAAAGACTAGAAAATTGCTGTTTACAGATGCTCTCTATCTAATCTGACTGAACTGGTGCTATTTTGCAAAGAAGAATGGGCAAAAATTGCAGTTTCTACATGTGCAAAGCTGGTAGAGATGTACCCCAAAAGACTTGCAGCTTGTAATTGCAGTGAAAGGTGGTTTGACAAGGTATTGACTCAGGGCTGAATACGTATGCACACCACACTTTTACTTTAAAAAATCTTGAACACTATGTATCATTTTCCTTCCACTTCACAATTATGCGATACTTTTGTGTTAGGCTATCATATAAAATCCCAATAACATCCATTTAAGTCTTTGGTTGTAATGTGACAAAATGTGGAAAAGTTAAAGGGGTATGATTACTTTTGCAAGGCACTGTACAGTATTGTTCAAAATAATAGCAGTACAATGTGACTAACCAGAATAATCTTAAGCTCTTAAGGCTGTGCAATTGGGCAATTAGTTGAAAGGGGTGTGTTCAAAAAAATAGCAGTGTCTGCCGTTGACTGTACAAACACAAAACTATTTTGTACAAACGTTTTTGTTTCTAGGATTTAGCAATCCTGTGAATCACTAAACTAATATTTAGTTGTATGACCACAGTTTTTTATAACTGCTTCACATTTGTGTGGCATGGAGTCAACCAACTTGTGGCACCTTTCAGCTGTTATTCCACTCCACTCCACTCCACAGCCTTAAGAGCGTGCATATCATGAATGCTGGGTCTTGTTTGCTTTCTGAGAATCTACTGCACCTACTGGTAACTTGTTTGCCATGTAGCAATAAAAAATATACTAAAAACCTGGATTATTCTGGTTAGTCACATTGTACTGCTATTATTTTGAACAATACTGTATGTCTTGCTTTCAGTCACACTGTGGCGACGCTAAATGAAGCACTGACCAGCGAACTATTGAGAACTTTGCTTAAAAAAAAAAACAACTTACATTATAACTGTCCCTGAAAAATAACTAGCCTATCTTAATCCATTAACTGTTTGGTCACCTCCATAGAGGGAACATGGTTTAGGGATGGAAGATAGAGCTCAGAGAGGGACAGATGAGGAGAGAGAAAGGTAAATATCCAGGCAGATGCTTTTCATACCGTTCAAAGCAGCTTTGGAGAAAAGATCATCATATAAATGTATGCCAATACAGACTGCTTGACTGGATTTTAAGTCTCAAGTATGAAGAGCTGGACATCACCAGGCCTTGACATGATCCACACCTACTGGTTAAAGAAGCTAACTTCACTCCATGAGTGCCTGGAAGGACAAATGAACCAGCTACTAATGGATGGAATCCACCCTGAGTGGTTTGAAGGCCGGACATTCCTGATCCTGAAGGACCCCCAGAAGGGAGCAGTACCATCCAACTACCACCCAATAACCTGCCTCTGCACAACATGGAGGCTCCTGTCAAGCATCATAGCAGCTAAGATGAGCAGGCACATGGCTCAATACATGAGCAGTGCCCAGAAAGGGATTGGTAGTGACACCAGAGGAGCAAAGCACCAGCTACTGGTTGATAAAGTAGTCACTTAAGACTGCAAGCCCAGACATAACAACCTGTGCACTGCCTGGATTGACATGGATCCTGGAATGCTTGGAACGGTACAACATCGACAGGATTCTTAGAAGCCTTCATCAAGAACTAAATGGGAATGTGGAAAACCACCCTAGAGGCCAACTTCAAGCCAATTGCACATGTCAACATCAAGAGCGGTATCTACCAAGGAGATGCTCTGTCCCCACTGCTGTTCTGCATAGGGCTGAAGCCCCTCAGCCAGATCACCACCAAGAGCGTTTACGGATACCAACTACGGAATGGAGCAACCATCAGCCACCTCCTCTACATGGATAACATCAAGCTGTAGGCCAGGAGTGAACGAGACATCGACTCACTGATCCACACCACTAGGATCTACAGCGAGGACATCGGAATGTCATTTGGACTGGATAAATGTGGTCGAATGGTAACAGCGAGAGGGAAGGTAGTCAGAACTGAGGGGATTGTACTACCAGAAGGCAACATAGCAGATGTTGAGGACAGCTACAAGTACCTTGGGATCCCGCAGGCAAATGGGAACCATGAAGAGGCTGCAAAGAAAGAAGCAACTACCAAGAAGTGCCCACAACTGCAGAAGGGATCAAGAAGGAGGAACTACACATTCAGAATTCACTTAAAGTGGGCCTTTGCCAAAGCAATGAAGAGGCTCAACACCAACAGGGATAAACCAGAAACAAGAGGGGATAACACTGTCATCCCTTATGTGGCTGGTTTATCAGATTAGCTGAAAAGGATTTTCCTCAACCACAATATCCCAGAGACTGGTATATCTGAAGGATGTGGTATATGCAATTAAATGTGGTCAGGAGTGTAATGACTTGTACGCTGGAAAAACAAAACAGCTGCTGCACAAGTGCATGGCCCAACACAGCAGGCCTAACCCCAGTGGGCCAGAGTCAGTAGTCCACCACCACCTGAAAGACAAAGGGGATTCTTTTAAAGACAGTGAAGTCCAGAACCTCTCCAGAGAACACTGCTGGTTTGAGAGAGGAGTCAAAGAAGCAGTTTTTGCCGAAATAGAATACCCCTCTCTAAATAGGGGTGGTAAACTCAGACACAACTCCTCATCCATTTACAACTCTGTTTTGAAATCTCTACCCAAACATTTCCACCCCAATTCACACCAGGACAATAAGTGTCAGTCCACATGAGGGTTCAAAGATGGGCAACGACACTCACCAATACCAGACCCTAACAACTCAGTCAATAGTGGACATTGTTGGCTGGCAAAGGACTAAAACACCACGCAGTTTGGTAAATACCTCATGCTAACCACCAGTCAGAGAGAACTGATGAAGCCTCATGCATAAGAGGTTAAACGTTTTCTACCTAAAACTAGGTCCAGATGCCGTCTTCTAAGCTTTTTCAGCGTCCTTGAAAATAATTTCTTGAAGAGTGGGAAGGCTCAAAATGGATTTGATCCGCAGTTGTTGCACTCTGATTACACAGCTATGGATTAACATACTGTACTGTGCAGACATTTAGGGACTAAATTAAAGTGAGGATGTGTGCAGTAAAGAGAAAATCAATATTTGGCATGACCACCTTTGTTCATATAACTTGATGTGATCAGGGGCCTCATTTATCAAAGTATGCATAGAACAAGTTTTGCAAGTGTGTTCATAGGAAATGTGTGTAGGAGCCGGAAAATTTTTGCATTTATCAAAGTTTATCATTGTTCATTTCATCCAGTGACCAATGACAAATCTCATCTGTTCTGTATCCATGTGTTTGTGCACACAGATGTCCATTAAGCCTATATAGTCATACCTTTGAAAGTCCTTAATGTGGAGAGTTGTGGATTAAATTTGTCAGTGAGGAAAAATGGCATTAAAGACACTGTATCATCATCAGAGCAGTTTCCAATCATGCACCAGACTTGTGCACATACAGTAGACTAAGTGTCATTTATTTTGTGTTCCTGTGTCACTAAAATGTCCTGGGAAATAATTTTTTGTAACGAGGGGGAATCCTGTCATCCATTACCAGTAAGGACAGGAATTGATGGATTTTGAAATAGCTAAATGCTCCTTTTACCTCCAACAGGTTCCAGTGAAATTTCGCCACCCCTTCTATTATGAGATGTGCTGGTATGTGTTGGAGCGTTACATCTTCAGCCTGACCAAGACCTCCTATCTCACACCAGAGTTTCAGAAACACACTCTGGGCATTGGTATGAACACAGGCATGCCAGGGTGGGGCACTGTGTGGAGACAGCTTTTTCATGACAAGTCTTGGATTTTGTAGATTGGTTTTAAATAGAATGCGAAACTCATTCTTTCTGTTAGGCTTGAAGAAGCCTTCTGGCTTAGACCAATCCAGTGAGCAAGTGAGAGAGGAGAGAGATGGTGGCACTGATGAAGAGGCTTCAGAGCAGTTTGACAAGGCTGCAGTTAAAGTTCATCTGACTCCCTTTGAGTTGGAGGGGCTGTGCAATCTGCTGGGTAAATTGGAGGCTCTGCCTTCCAACAAGAAGTGTGTGCCAGCAGGATTTTCCAGCACTGATTACACAGATCAAGGTATGACTGGTACTGTAATTAAGAAAAACTTGTCTTGATATTCATGTTGTCCACATAAGTGTTTGTTTTTTTCCCTGCTTTTTGTCCCATCTCCCTTGTCTCTGCTGTGCTGCAGGTGCTACTAAAGGAACACGCTGGTGATAATCCCAAACTTTCCTACACTGGAAAACCCATTGTTAGGTGGCCAAAGAGGGTGAGAACTATTCCCTTTAAACCCAGCACATTAGTAATGATAATAAGAATAAGGGTATAGGTAGAGATTCTAAGTTGAAGGCAGCCAAACTTTATTTTATTTTTTCTAAAGAAATCCATGACCTGGATGACTGACTAGCTTCACCAATATAGCGGTAATAAAATCAAAGGCCATAAATTATGTCGCAGAGTATGTGCTTGCCGTAGAGTCTCCTTTCCCCCCGAGGGGTGCATGGTTGATGGTGAGAGATGCTGCTGAGATTTCGTTAACGTTGGACAGCTCAACAAGTCATAAGCAAAATATTGTTTAAACACATACAGTGCTTTTTCCAACCATAATAAGGTAGACACCAAGTTAAAACCAGATTTTCATCAAACCAAGCCACCTTCCACAGCTGGAGATGGTCCCCGCACACTTGTCTTACAGCCAGTTGCACATAAAACCAATTTGTCCAGCATGGAAGACAGCTTGGTTTGATGAAAATTAAGTTGTACGTTGTCGTCTACCCTACTACAGTTGGAAGGAGACATTGTTTGTGTTCAAATCTGACTTTTTTTTTTTTTTTAACTTTACTGCAGTGCTGTAGAGCTGGGGAGTGCAGTCATTGAAAACCATTTGAAATCCACCCATAATAATTGGCTTACAAATAGGTGCACAAAAACATATGAAAGCAGCTTATGAGACATGATAAATAATACAAAGCCTGCACATGTCCCAGTCTTCATCTTACAGGTATTTTTGAGAACAGGTAAAGTCAATCCATGTGCTGCTGTCATGAGGTTTCTTTGGTCCATTCAGGGGTGTGTGATATTGTAGCTACAGTATGTGATGCTTCTTTGGCCAGTGAAGGTGAAAATGTCTTTTATTTTATGTGTGAAGTTACAAAATGTTTAGACTCCCACCCCAGCCCCTCAAAACTGTACTGCACTGGTAGACCTGAGGTTTGAGGTTACAAGCTGGAAAAAGTAGGCTATCGACAGAAAATGAAAACCGGCAAAAGATTAAAGGCAGACTGAAACAGTATAACTAAAAATTAAATAATAAAACGAGTTTCTGAAACTTAACTCTGGTTTGAAAATGAGTGGAGCAAGATTGACAGTTAATGCTAATTTATAAGCTCAACCTACACCAGACAAAGTGAGGTCAGTTGGCCTTTACGATCCGCAGAACTGAAGTGAACTACGAGCACTCCAGTTAATGGAGGAAAATTATACTATATTGGCCTGTAAACCTATACAGTATTGTTCAAAATAATAGCAGTACAATGTGACTAACCAGAATAATCCAGGTTTTTAGTATATTTTTTATTGCTACATGGCAAACAAGTTACCAGTAGGTGTAGTAGATTCTCAGAAAGCAAACAAGACCCAGCATTCATGATATGCACGCTCTTAAGGCTGTGCAATTGGGCAATTAGTTGAAAGGGGTGTGTTCAAAAAAATAGCAGTGTGACATTCAATCAGTGAGGTCATCAATTTTGTGAAATAACAGGTGTGAATCAGGTGGCCCCTATTTAAGGATGAAGCCAGCACTTGTTGAACATGCATTTGAAAGCCTGAGGAAAATGGGTCGTTCAAGACATTGTTCAGAAGAACAGCGTACTTTGATTAAAAAGTTGATTGGAGAGGGGAAAACCTATAAAGAGGTGCAAAAAATTATAGGCTGTTCAGCTAAAATGATCTCCAATGCCTTAAAATGGAGAGCAAAACCAGAGAGACGTGGAAGAAAACGGAAGACAACCATCAAAATGGATCGAAGAATAACCAGAATGGCAAAGGCCCAGCCAATGATCAGCTCCAGGATGATCAAAGACAGTCTGGAGTTACCTGTAAGTACTGTGACAGTTAGAAGACGTCTGTGTGAAGCTAATCTATTTTCAAGAATCCCCCGCAAAGTCCCTCTGTTAAAAAAAAGGCATGTGCAGAAGAGGTTACAATTTGCCAAAGAACACATCAACTGGCCTAAAGAGAAATGGAGGAACATTTTGTGGACTGATGAGAGTAAAATTGTTCTTTTTGGGTCCAAGGGCCACAGACAGTTTGTGAGATGACCCCCAAACTCTGAATTCAAGCCACAGTACACAGTGAAGACAGTGAAGCATGGTGGTGCAAGCATCATGATATGGGCATGTTTCTCCTACTATGGTGTTGGGCCTATTTATCGCATACCAGGGATCATGGATCAGTTTGCATATGTCAAAATACTTGAAGAGGTCATGTTGCCTTATGCTGAAGAGGACATGCCCTTGAAATGGTTGTTTCAACAAGACAATGACCCCAAACACACTAGTAAACGAGCAAAGTGTTGGTTCCAAACCAACAAAATTAATGTTATGGAGTGGCCAGCCCAATCCCCGGACCTTAATCCAATCGAGAACTTGTGGGGTGATATCAAAAATGCTGTTTCTGAAGCAAAACCAAGAAATGTAAATGAATTGTGGAATGTTGTTAAAGAATCATGGAGTGTAATAACAGCTGAAAGGTGCCACAAGTTGGTTGACTCCATGCCACACAGATGTGAAGCAGTTATAACAAACTGTGGTCATACAACTAAATATTAGTTTAGTGATTCACAGGATTGCTAAATCCTAGAAACAAAAACGTTTGTACAACATAGTTTTGTGTTTGTACAGTCAACGGCAGACACTGCTATTTTTTTGAACACACCCCTTTCAACTAATTGCCCAGTTGCACAGCCTTAAGAGCGTGCATATCATGAATGCTGGGTCTTGTTTGCTTTCTGAGAATCTACTGCACCTACTGGTAACTTGTTTGCCATGTAGCAATAAAAAATATACTAAAAACCTGGATTATTCTGGTTAGTCACATTGTACTGCTATTATTTTGAACAATACTGTATGTGCTTGTGTACACAATCCCACCCATTATGTAGAAGTATTTACAAATGACCAATATGTCACATGAAGCTATTGAATACTCTATAGACATCAGTGGGATAAATGAAATGATGAACCAGAAAAAAAAGCAACAATTTCTAACAAAATCCAAATGAAGTCGACCCTCTTAGTTAAACTTTAAGTAAAGCTGACTGAATGAGCACATCCTGCAACTTGACTCGGCTGAAAACTACAGTATATTACAAAAAAAGAAAAAAGTTTACACTAAACTGAAATATAACTCTAATAGTCCACAGGAAAACAAATGAGATGCCACCAAAAAGAAAGAGCTGAAGAATTTCAACTGCAGATTAATAAAGTATGTATGGAAGCGTGTAGAACATCCAAGTAATTTTTAGCCCCAGAATCCTGATGTATGGAATCTTGAGAATGCCTCACTGAGCAACTTTCACAAGAGTGAATTGGGCACCATCTTGTGGCCCAGTATTAATTTCTTAATACATCCATGATTCTCCATGTCAATATGGCTACGCCCTACATGGACCCTGGAGAGGGAAAAGAATTAATAGCACAATCCTAAATAGTCCCAGCAATACACCAGAAAAATTATTTACAAAATAGTAAATAAACTATCAGGTTAGATATATCACAATTATATAATTGGCTACAGCAAAAATAATGATAAGACTCCAGGAATATAATCTTGCTTTCCATAAAGCTAAAATGCAAATTCTGTACCTGTTCCATGAGGAGAATGTGTCACATGCAATATCAGCACATACCATATGAAAATGTACGTAAAAGTTGTGAAAATGACATTCCTGCCTGTAGTCATGTTCTGTCACTTTAAAATATACTACATATTTGGATGCAATGATTGTACTTGTGTTTATTCTAGCTGCCTCCCCTTTTCTTCTTTAAAAAAACAACTTATTCATTGTTTCTTCTTTACTTTTATGCTTCCCTCCACAAGCCCTCATGGTACCAGCCTCCTGCTCCACCACCTCCTCCTCGCCCTAAACTAGCCTCTGCACCCATCATCCCACGGCCACAGAAACCAGCCTCTTCCATGTCTGTGCTGAGACGTCGCAGGGTCAGGTAACATGGCACTTGTGTATGTACATGTCTTTATTACACTGTATAAGCAAATTTATGTTCAATCGTCGCAAGGACATTTTGGTATTGTATGGATTTTTTAGGTGATCCTCAACTTCATTGTTTCATTTTGTATTATTGTATAATTTAACCTTTATTTTACAACCTCTTTTTCAAGCCCTGGTGAGATGGCTGTATTACAAGTAACAGATAATAAAACACACACATAATACTAAAACCAGACAACAATGTATAAAATGTTCAATAAACTGCAGAAACAGTATCAAAAATCAAAGCATGTTAAGGACAAAAATAAATAAAAAAAGAATCATACACCAGTGAGTTTACAATAGTCTTGAAATCTTGCAGTGATACCAAGTGTTTGGAGCCAATATAATTTTAAGTTGTTTATAATTGTTAGCAGAAAGAAGTGTATACCCCTCTCTGCTGTTCACTCAGCCCAATCAATCAAGATGGGTGGCTACCAACCAAGACCCCTGGTTTCTTCTTTTAAAGGGAGTTTTCCCTCCCTGTCCTTGCTGAAAAGGGATTTGTTGGGTTTCTCTCTGTAGTGTCTAGTCAAACTTTTTTAACAAATAAAAAACTGAAAAATTGGGCGTGCAAAATTATTCAGCCCCCTTAAGTTAATACTTTGTAGCGCCACCTTTTGCTGCGATTACAGCTGTAAGTCGCTTGGGGTATGTCTATCAGTTTTGCACATCGAGAGACTGAAATTTTTGCCCATTCCTCCTTGCAAAACAGCTTGAGCTCAGTGAGGTTGGATGGAGAGCGTTTGTGAACAGCAGTTTTCAGTTCTTTCCACAGATTCTCGATTGGATTCAGGTCTGGACTTTGACTTGGCCATTCTAACACCTGGATATGTTTATTTGTGAACCATTCCATTGTAGATTTTGCTTTATGTTTTGGATCATTGTCTTGTTGGAAGACAAATCTCCGTCCCAGTCTCAGGTCTTTTGCAGACTCCATCCGGTTTCCTTCCAGAATGGTCCTGTATTTGGCTCCATCCATCTTCCCATCAATTTTGACCATCTTCCCTGTCCCTGCTGAAGCAAAGCAGGCCCAAACCATGATGCTGCCACCACCATGTTTGACAGTGGGGATGGTGTGTTCAGGGTGATGAGCTGTGTTGCTTTTACGCCAAACATAACGTTTTGCATTGTTGCCAAAAAGTTCGATTTTGGTTTCATCTGACCAGAGCACCTTCTTCCACATGTTTGGTGTGTCTCCCAGGTGGCTTGTGGCAAACTTTAAACGACACTTTTTATGGATATCTTTAAGAAATGGCTTTCTTCTTGCCACTCTTCCATAAAGGCCAGATTTGTGCAGTATATGACTGATTGTTGTCCTATGGACAGAGTCTCCCATCTCAGCTGTAGATCTCTGCAGTTCATCCCGAGTGATCATGGGCCTCTTGGCTGCATCTCTGATCAGTCTTCTCCTTGTATGAGCTGAAAGTTTCGAGGGACGGCCAGGTCTTGGTAGATTTGCAGTGGTCTGATACTCCTTCCATTTCAATATTATCGCTTGCACAGTGCTGCTTGGGGTGTTTAAAGCTTGGGAAATCTTTTTGTATCCAAATCCGGCTTTAAACTTCTCCACAACAGTATCTCGGACCTGCCTGGTGTGTTCCTTGTTCTTCATGATGCTCTGAGACTATCACAGTGCAGGTGCATTTATACGGAGACTTGATTACACACAGGTGGATTCTATTTAGTATTTCTATTCTATTAGTCATTTAGGTCAACATTGGATCATTCAGAGATCCTCACTGAACTTCTGGAGAGAGTTTGCTGCACTGAAAGTAAAGGGGCTGAATAATTTTGCACGCCCAATTTTTCAGTTTTTTATTTGTTAAAAAAGTTTGAAATATCCAATAAATTTCATTCCACTTCATGATTGTGTCCCACTTGTTGTTGATTCTTCACAAAAAATTACAGTTTTATATCTTTGTTTGAAGCCTGAAATGTGGCAAAAGGTCGCAAAGTTCAAGGGGGCCGAATACTTTCGCAAGGCACTGTATATAAAGTACCTTGAGATGATTTTTGGGTGATTTGGCACTATACAAATACAATCAAACTGAAAGGAATCAATTGTATAATTATTTAGGTGTATGATTAACTGCCTTTGGAGAAAATCCATTTGTTGGGCTTTCCTTCTCTGCAGGTGTAAGCGCTGTGAAGCCTGTATGAGACCTGAGTGTGGAGACTGTAATTTCTGCAGAGACATGAAGAAGTTTGGTGGACCGGGGAAGCTCAAGCAGACCTGTGTGCTACGACAGTGTCTTTCTGTAAGTAACTGATTTCTTCATTTATTTATTTATATATATTGGATACGTCTGTTTTGTAACTTACCTTCTGTCCCCTTCAGCCAGGTCTTCCTCTGTCTGCAGTGTGTGAGATCTGCAAGGAGCCCAATCAGGAGGAAATGGGCGATCCCTCCCTCACTCTGATGGAGTGTTCCAATTGTGCACAGATAGTCCACCCTGCCTGCCTCACGGTACAACATACACACCCCCTGAGTTGTGTCCAAAATTTGTCTGTATTTACTATACCATATTAACTATACTGAACAAAATTATAAACGCAACACTTTTGTGTTTGCCCCCATCTTTCATGAGCTGAACTCAAAGATTTACAACTTGTTCTATGTACACAAAAGGCCTATTTCTCTCAAATCGATCTAAATGTGTGCTAGTGTTTGTCAGAAACTGTCTCAGGGAAACTCATCTGCATGCTCATCGTCCTCATTGGGGTCTCGACCTGACTGCAGTTCGTCATTGTAACCAATTTGAGTGAGCAAATGCTCACATTCGATGGCATCTGGCACTTTGGAGAGGTGTTCTCTTCACAGATGAATCCCGGTTTTCACTGTACAGGGCAGATGGCAGACAGCGTGTATGGCGTCGTGTGGGTGAGCGGTTTGCTGATGTCAACGTTGTGCCCATGGTGGCGGTGGGGTTATGGTATGGGCAGGCATATGTTATGGACAACGAACACAGGTGCATTTTATTGATGGCATTTTGAATACACAGAGATACCGTGACGAGATCCTGAGGCCCATTGTTGTGCCATTCATCCACGACCATCACCTCATATTGCACTATGATAATGCACGGCCCCATGATGCAAGGATCTGTACACAATTCCTGGAAGCTGAAAACACCCCAGTTTTTGCATGGCCAGCATACTCACCGGACATGTCACCCATTGAGCATGTTTGGGATGGTCTGGATCAGTGTATACGACAGCGTGTTCCAGTTCCTGCCAATATCCAGCAACTTTGCACAGCCGCTGAAGAGGAGTGAACCAACATTCCACAGCCTGAATATGTATACTGAAAATCAACTGGACTTAGATTTCTAGGTCAAAGACGTTTCACCTCTCATCCAAGAGGCTTCATCAGTTCATCAGAACTGATGTGGTCTTGCTTTCTGAAGCCACTTTATGAACATTTGGCATCATGAAGGGAATTTAAACCCCTGACCTTATAAATGTTCCAGAGAGGTTGGACCCAATATGGTAATCCCATTGTCTTTTTTTGTCTCTTTCATCTATCATTTTTCTACTTGTTTGTATCTGTCCCCACAGATTGTTGGTGAAGGAGTGGTGAATAAAGATCTGCCTAGCTGTTGGGAGTGCCCAAAATGTGTCCAAGGGATCACTGACCCAGAGGTACACAATTTCTTGTTAATGAAATATACATATACAGTTCACACTGAAACACAGTCTCAAGGTCTTAGCAATAACAATTTTATTTGTATAGCACTTTTAAAAAAAAACAAACAAATGTTACAAATTCCTTAACAATAACAAAATTCAACAATAAAAATCATATAACACACCCAGAAATCAGAAAACACCAGAGATACTACATCTAAAATTGTCATAAAAATAGGCCATATAATGATGATCACCAAAAGAAGAAACACTGTAAAACCCATGGAGCCCAAAATGAGGAGTTTTCAGTTGCAATTTAGGAAATGCCAGGCAGGCTCAGGGCTGACCAAATTTCACATGGAAGGCTGTTCCACAAACTTGGTTCAGC